AACGAAGTTCCTTATGGGACGATGCGGAGGGGTACCCTAACCGGGAAAAAACGTCCGTAACGTAAGATTTTTATTAGTAATGCACACAGTGTACGACTTAACTTTGTAATAACGTACAAATTAGTAATGCACACGGTGTAAGACTTAACTTTGTAATAACGTACAAAAACTAACATATTTTTTATCACTCATTGACCACGATCTCAAAGCGATCGTTTGCGCAATACACTAACTCTTATGCAAACAACCGTGAATGAAGTGTACCACAAGTTCGCACGTTACCGAATGACCGTGGGTTGTTGAGAAACCTCTAGTTTTCTTTTCTATATACCTCGAATAGAACTTAAAATTATTATTTTTATAATAAGGAACTTCGTTCCTATCCGGTGTCCCACGACACCACATATTTTTTGATAAGGGTGTTACGCCCGATTGGCACGAAAGCTATACGCGAGTTGAAGAAACACAACAGAGGTGAAGAGTCAGTTCGTTCATTTGTCGTCTATTTTATGTAATGTACCAATTTTTGTAATGAAATACACTCGACAAATGTTCACGATTGACTTCCACGGTGAAGGAATAACATCATGCAATAAAAATCAAACCCGAAAAATTATAATTTGCGTAATTACTGGTGGTAGGACCTCTTGAGAGTCCGCGCGGGTAAGTACCACCACCCTGTCTATTTCTGCTGTAAAGCAGTAATGCGTTTCGTTTTGAAGGGCGGGGCAGCCGTTGTAACTATACTTGAGACCTTAGAACTTATATCTCAAAGTGGGTGGCGCATTTACGTTGTAGAAGTCTATGGGCTGCAGTAACCACTTAACATCAGATGGGATGCGAGCTCGTCCACCCATCTAAGCAATAAAAAAAACGCCACAGTCGTTCCATTTCTTTCTTTTGTTGAACGTGTGATTACTTTGCGACCGTAATAAGTAGGATAGGTAGTCTATTAGCCCTAGTATCGGTAACTGCGCAAATTTTGTACACATTTTACTGCCTTCGGAGCTTTTTTCTTAGATAATTTCATTAGGAGAGAAGCCTGTATCGTGTAATTAACGTGGCTAAGAATGGTGACGGAAACTTCTTATAGCATGCTGATTAGATATTTAATTAGAAAATTTGAGAATTATTCTAAAGAATTCGAATCCATTTCACTTTTTCCTGTTCTTATCTACTATCTATTATATGTCACGCGATTCATATTATTATCGTAAAATACTTACAAATTCGTTGAAGCTGTCTACCATCGTGCCAAAGTTTTTCTTAACAGTCTCCGGGGCCAAGGCGGATTCAACTTTTTCCCTCAATTCCTCAATTGTTTTCTTCGCACTCTCAGCCAGCGTATTTAGGCTATTGTCTTCTTTAGGAGCATCTCGTTTGACGAATGCATGCACCTGTTCAAATCATTTTTTTTTATTCAACATAAATGAAAGCACATACTTGTTGAACGTCAAAAAGAACTACCGCCAATTCACAAAAACTAGCTTCGGTCCTGAGAAGAACTGGCAAGAAAATCAGCGGGCATGTCTTTTTTTTTTTAAATATTAGTTTTATTTAAATAATCATTTTTACAATAGATATTATAACGTAACAATTATTCCAATATTGAAATGCCCGGAGCGAACAATTCATTCCCACTTTGTGCATCTTCTAGATAATCATTGACTTTATAGTATGCTTTATTGCACAGATTTTCTTTAATAGTTTTCTTAAACCTATGTATCTGTATATGTAGGTTCTGAACATTTTGTGGAATTTTGTTGTACAGGCGCACAGACAAACATCCGAATGAATTTCGTATCTTATGTAACCTACTCATCGGCACAACAAGCTTGTGTTTGTTCCTAGTATTTTTTAAGTCAGACTTTTTAGGAAACTCAATTTCAAATTTGATGTATGTTTACGAAAATACATCAAATTTTCAAAAATGTACTGGGATGGCATAGTGAGAACTTTAATTTCTTTAAATTTCTCCCTCAGAGATTCCTTTGAGTGCACGTTATAAATAGCACGTATAGCTCATTTCTGCAACATAAATGTTGTTAAAAATATGAATGTTGTATAAATATAAATAATAATAAATGTTAATAAAAACATTATTGGTCATCTAATATTATAAGCAGTTGGATACTTATTATGACGCATTTAGCTGCCAGTTTATCCACAAAATCTATTTTAGGGGCTGAGCATCATTTAATTTCATTAATATTTCACAGCAAGTAAACGATATAAAACCGTTACAATTTCGGTTTTGTCTCAAAGCGAGTGGCGGTATTAACGTTGTAATTTCTACGGGTCATGGTAATCATACAACTTTGGTTCATAAGCCCTACTAGTCTCCAATAGAATAATGAAATAGATTGAAACCACAACATTAACTGTGAACGTGTGAAGTTTTAAACTAAATTTTGAAATGCGCATCGAAAATGATTTTAAAATGATCCTAAAATTTAATCACAATATTAAAATAATTATATTATATGCCGCAGAGGTAATTCTATAAAAAAAAAAAATCAAAGATTATAAAGAGCCTATCAGACGTTTGCTTTTTGTGCGTAAAATTGTAGATCTATTAAGTCAGCAGTCATCGGTCGTCACCTTAAAACTATATATCAAGGTGTGTGGCGCATTTACGTTGTAGATGTCTATGGGCTTTAGTAACCACTTAACACCAGGTGGGCTGTGAGCTCGTCCACAAATCTAAGCAATAAAAAAAAAAAAACCTCAACCTCATCGTAAGATATTAAACAAAACCTAAGTTGATTTCGAACCAAAATAAGAATCGTTTAATGTTATCGTATTCACGGGCAACAGAGAGATACAGCTTACATTTCAACAAGTTAAAATAAGTATAAATCTAGGCGAACGCAGTCGTGGGTACAGCTAAAGATAAAAATGATCCATTTTCATATATTGATTTCGTGAACACGAAAATTTTATGAAGTCGAAATTTTATGTATTCAAAACGTCGGCTTATTTATAACGACAAAATGAAACAATACTTGACTACTGTTATTTACAGAAGCAGTAGTTTTATATACGGAAATATATCGTTCGGTTTTCTATGAAAAATTACGACAATAAGGTATAAATGAGTTTTAGTTATGGTGAGTTTTAGGTTACACAGGGAGTAGGACCTCTTGTGAGTCCGCACGGGAAGGTACCACCACCCCGCCTATTTCTGCCGTGAAGCAGTAATGCGTTTCGGTTTGAAGAGCGGGGCAGCCGTTGTAACTATACTTGAGACCTTAAAACTTATATCTCAAGGTGGGTGGCACATTTACGCTGTAGATGTCTATGGGCTCCAGTAACCACTTAACACCAGGTGGGCTGTGAGCTCGCCCACCCATCTAAGCTATAAAAAACAAAACAAAAAAAAGTTATAACAAAAATGGAAATTGAAATAAAACTACTTACATTGGCGAGGCAGATAGCCAACAAGATAATCAGCAGCTTGTTCATTTTGGATATTTGAGAACGTCTTCACGAATCGGCTACAGAATCACCACTGGCTCTTTCTGTGCCGTAGCCCTCTTTATGTTAACAGAGCTCGTTAACTTATTTGTCAGTATAATAAGATAATGTGATCTAATTAATAAACGAGAAACCGTTAATTAGCGTTTCCGAGAACCCTAAAGCGCTGATAACAATTTGTTTTTGTTTACACGACCTCATCACCCACAGCAATTGAAAAATAAATAGTAGATTAGAACAGCAAATATTACCATCCATTAGAAAAGATTGACGGAAATTTTCCTAAAGTTTTACAAAAAAAAAAGTACAAATTTAAAATTATTCAGATACGTAATTGTTGGCACGTATTAAATAAAACATCAAGAACATTCAGAATATTTCATACTTCACTTTATTGATTATATAGGTAATACAGGGCTTTTTTTTATTAATTTCTTGTTGCTCCTTGGTGTATTGGAGCATTTGGATTTTATATCTACATTGATACGTGAGGTCAAAGGCCCCTGATTATTACTTGAGCGTTTTTCGGTCGCCAACCGGCATTCACTTTTGGTAGGGCGTATTGTAAAACCTGTACCGAGACGTACCAACGTCTGGCCTATTTCTGCCGCGAATCAGTCTTTAATTTAGGTTTGATGGGCGGAATAGCGGCTTATATATATCGACGCTTGAAAGACAAACGTGACTAAGCGACAATAACTGCTTTGTACATAAATGATAGGCAATAACCACATTCGATGCGCAAAAAAAATATATTTCTAGGTGTATTAAAATAATTTCAATCCTACAGCTACTAGCTAGATTCTACTACAGCTAGATTCGTTAAAATAAATTTTGTTTTCAGGTATTTCAACTTTAAATTAGTCTACTGTAAAATTCACGCATTGTCGCTTAGTCACGTTTGCCTTTCAAGCGTCGATATGTACAATACAGTTGAAACTTCGATATTATGTCTCGAGGTGGGTGAAGGCATTGACGTTCTGATGTTTTAGTTCTGCGGTAACCAGTTATAATCAGAAAAAAAAAAAAATTAACGTTGCCTAAATGCTTAAAAAACCTGGTAAAATCGTATCGAGCAATGGGATTGTCGAATTACGCAGTCAGATATCCATTTTTTAAATGAAATACATATATCAAAAATGTTCTCGATTGACTTCCACGGTAAAGGAGTAACATCGTGTAACACAAATCAAACCCGCAAAAATTTTAATATGTGTAATTACTGGTAGAGCACACATGGATAGGTAAGCCTACCTAGCTTATTTCTGCTGTAATTCGTTTAGGTTTGAAGCAGCCTTTAGCCAGCCAGCCGTTGTACTGTAAAAATTGAGATCTATTGACTTTTTAGACCATTAAGGTCTCGAGTTGGGTGCCAGCAGTTAAGTTGTTAATGTTAATTAAAGTAATTTTATTATTAATTTTATTGTTTTAAACATTCAAATAAAATCCGCAGTGCCATTTACAAATACATTTTATAATCAAGACGAGAACGTTATAACCAAAGTACACTTAATTGAAAGTGTCTACGCCCAAATCGATTCCTGTGTTGTAGTACTTTTCGCGGTCAAATCTTCGAACTGAAAATGAATATATTTAAAAAATAAATAAATTGCAATATGGTTATACTAAGCAATTGTTTTCAGCAGTAACAATGTAATACTTCTAAATCTTTGTGTGATGCTTTCGTATCGTAAAAACAAAAAACCCAAAGTATCGTATATCGCACAGCTGTTAGCATTAAATAAACAGAATACCTGAATAAAAACTGGTGGTAGGATCTCTCATGAGTCCGCACCACCCCGCCTATTTCTGCCGTGAAGCAGCAATGCGTTTCGGTTTGAAGGGTGGGGCAGCCGGTCTAACTATACTGAGACCTTAGAACTTGAGTCTCAAGGTGGGTGGCGCGTTTAGGTTGTAGATGTCTATGAGCTCCAGTGACCATTTAACACCAGGTAGGCTGTGAGCTCGTCCACCCATCAAAGCAATAAAGAAATTACAGGACTCACCGCTTTAGAAAATCTATTAATCTGATCACCGATAACATTAAAGACAGGTTTCAGTTGATGCACATTAACATCGTCCACCGATTTGGCCAGCGTTAAATCCAAGCACTTCCTGAACATGTCCATGTTTGTTTGAAATGATTCAAATATATTCGGGGGGGTCGATGGTGTGTCTCTCTTCACCACGTACGCTCCGTTTACCTGAAAATTGACACGATGAAAACCTTCACAGTGCTACATGCTGGTTGGATCCTCCCGATCCACTAACGGTGCTTTTAGGTACCTCAAGCACCAGTCACCGTTTTCGTCGAACCCGTCGCTTGCGACGAAGGGCTCGACGAGTAAATTAACCCTCAGACACAGCCCACTGAGTTTCTCGCCGGATCATCTCAGTGGGTCGCGTTTCCGATCCGGTGGTAGATTCTGCGAAGTACGGCTCTTGCTAGGGTTCGTGTTAGCGACGTCATCAGGTTTGAGCCCCGTGAGCTCACCTACTAGTTAAGGCGATGCTGATATAGCCTCTCAAAGCGATCAGCTTAGGTACGAAAACAACTGTCCTCGGGTAAACTATTGAGTAAGTATGGAACTCGTTTTTTTAACATTCTATCTCCATAGTAATTTTGTACCATGGGTATTTCAAATTTACCTTTAGACATTGACCTTGTGCCAGTTTTATGTTGCACCAAATTAGTTAAACGATCTTGTTTACTATGACTGTTTACAAGTAGAAGATATTTATGTTTCAGGCTAGCCGGTAAAATTTTATATAGTTTAGAGTAATCTTCTTTACACTGATTCTTTGTCTTTTTATTTACGAGTAATTTGAAAAATCTTATTTGCAATGATTCTATTTTATCAATGTATGTTTTCTCTTTTGAAGAGAAGTTATGCTTCTCTTTCGAAGCAATCAACGCTGGTATCAAATATAGTCGAATGACTCAAAGATGGAATTGCAACGCGTAATGATCCTCCTCCTTCCGTCGTAAATCCTCAATACTGACGATCGTGACCTCTGTGGGATTTCAGAATCTTCCGGCGGACTATATCACGCCACGTCGGTCTGACCTCGGCGGCGTAATGTATGCGTAACGATCAGGTGACCAAAAAAAGAAGATGACGATACGAATAGGCGATTCGGCTGATCGTTTTGTAAGTTTAAAGGAAGTAATGAGAAATGGGCCCAAAACCTGAAGTTAAAATCTGTTCTGAATCAGTTAAGCTTATCAACATTAATAAATAGATAATGGGTTTCTTCTTTTACGTTGTTTCAGTCTGGACACAGCGTTCGTGGTTATGATGTAGCTCTTTCTTTCTCTCTCACGAAGTCTTGCCGCCTCCTTCGTTCTGCATTAGGTATGGAATACCAACGTACTAAGGCTAGCTCGAGGAAGTTACCATTGTTTTAATTTAACACCAGACGATGAGCATATTATAGCTATTAATGACGTCACTAGATATTCTTGGCAACATTTGCTTTGCAGTAAAGCAATAGGCAACCACTTACGTTTATTTCTCGGCTGAATTTTAATAACTTGTATCATATTACATGCTGTACCATTCTACAATATATTATTTTGTTTTATTGCATAGATGGGTGGACGACCTCACAACCCACCTAGTGTTAAGTGGTTACTGGAGCCCATGGACAACTACAACGTAAATGCGCCACCCACCTTGAGATATAAGTTCTAAGGTCTCAGTATAGTTACAAAGGCCCTTCAAACCGAAACGCATTACTGCTTCACGATAGAAATATGGGGGGTGGTGGTACCTACCCGTGCGGACTCACAAAAGGTCCTACTACCCGTAATTTCTCAATATACATACCAGTAAACTAAGCTGCGCAATAAATTATATTCTATCTGTTCACAGTCTCATAAAGTTTATTGATATTAGCCGACTGATGCAAGAAAATTTACTAAGCTTTCTATATTTAAAAAAAAACCTGGCAATTTTCATTAATTGTCAATTGTTTTTCGTTTAATGACCGTTGAAATATTAACTGCGTCCGTTGCCCGGAAAAGCCCTCCGAGTCTTGTTCTCCGATATAGGGCTATCAAACATTTTACATTTTAGTAAGTCCCTGGCGAGCTTTATCCGGATTGATCCGGGCACTTCCCTAATATCATCATCCAATCTGCTAAATTGCTACTTTTTTGGCAAACACCGTCATTACATGCCGCTTCCTTGATCACGTTTTTGTGAAAATTTAATTAGTTTTAAATGCGAATTGAAGATACGTTTAGGTATTTTTTTATAAAAATCACTCAGAGTAATGTGTATTAGCGAGTTTTTGATCATGGCAATCTTAAGGACTGCTTCAAGTATTCGTATATTTCGATTTGCGATAGATCTATGTAGTTGTGAATGACTTGTGTTTTTTTTTAATTGCATATATGGGTGGTCGAGCTCACAGCCCAAAGACATCTATGACGTAAATGCGCCACCCACCTTGAGATATAAGTTCTAAGGTCTCAGTATAGTTACAACGGCTACCCCACCCTTCAAACCGAAACACATTACTACTTCACGGCAGAAATAGGCGGGGTGGTGGTACCTACCCGTGCGGACTCACAAGAGGTCCTACCACCAGTAAAAACGCTTTCGACGCTTCCACAAAAATAAATCATGTACTTCTCCGTCATGTCGGAGTAAGAGTATTTTTACTAATTAAGGTAACAGCTACACTCGCGTACCAATTAGACACGTAATACTTGTGTGAGCTTGTTCGTTTAAAATAGGCTAAATTTAATCAACTTACGCGATATGAATGTGTGTATCCAACTTATAACTCACCTCAAGCAAAAGTGCACATAGAATGTTCACTAAAACAACTATGTTAAGTTTCATCATTGTAAGTGCTTGTAAGATTTGCTATTAAATTTAACGACAAACTGAATTATGTATCTCAGCTCATACCATTTTAAGTACCTGGTCGATGTAACACTATCCAAACCGTCTCAATTAGCATAAGCGTATCGAAAACTACAGCGGGTTGTAAAATTTGGCGTTAAATTAATTTCATATCCTTTTTTTATTACACTTGTAGGCAGACGAGCATACGGCCCATCTGATAGTGAGTGGTTAGTCGCCCATGGACTTCAGCAATGCCAGGGGCAGAGCCAAGCCGCTGCCTACCATTAAGTACTCTCCACAAGCCCCGTTTGAAAAAGGATATGTCATAGCGCTCGGGAAACACCGTAGAAGGGAGTTCATTCCAAAGCTGAATAATACGTGGCAAAAAAGATCTCTGGAAACGAAATTTGGATGAACGCAGTGGCTCCGGGTAGTATGGATGAACTCTATTCCGGTGGCGGGCGGCGCGATGGTAAAAACGAGATGATGGAATCATCTCAAACAATTCCTCAGAGCACTCCCCGTGGAACATACAGTAAAAAATATAGAGAGAAGCGGATTCTATTAATCTAGTCAACCCTGAAAACGTATCACGTGTCATTTTTACACTACTATCTGTCTCATAAGCATTAAGATCTTAATGTAATAAGAATATATTCATGCACGTGCTGTGAAACGTGGGCACTAGTCAACGATTGGAATGAAAAATGGAAAGTCTATAAATAAATGTATTGTCTGACAAACATCCTGTATATAGAATTAACATCACACATTAGCCGCAATACCGGTATTGACGGTCAAAGGTTGCTTCAAGTAAACAAACACAATGTTTACTTATTTTTTCAATTCTCTTGTTGAATGTGATTGGCACGATGATCGTATTAAATCATTGCTATCACAAAAAGACTAAACAGTACATCACTACATTCATATCTGATCAGAGGGTCCAAATATTATATTATATTTACTTAAATCAAACTTTTGTAAATGTATGTTTCATTTTTAACGAACTCACGGACCACCCGATCATAAGTGGTTACCTCAGCTCACAAACATCAACCACGTCAATACTGCCGAAAATTACATATCAAGGTAGGAATTGACAATAGATATGGCTAAAGAAATACAATCAATACAAATCCTTATATTAATAGCGCATAGTAGTAGGGTGATGGCGAAGCTGGTTTTGGGCAATTATCGGAGCCCATCGGCGTCAGCAACGCGACTGCCACCTTGGCACATGCAAAATCTCATTAGTATTTGCTGTCTCGCCCTCCAAAGCGGAACACGTGACTGGTTTGCAACAGAAATGAACAAGATATCGGTATCTACCCGTGTTATTTACAATGTCCCCTACGTCACTTTATACTTCTAAATATTGACTTATCGTTTAGATTTCTGTACAAAGTGTGCTACAATTAAGGAAGAATGTTAGGATTTTATTCTGGATCGAATGCAATCATGACCTAGCAAGAAATATACCCGATTTATTCGTATCCAGTCAGATATTAGGGTTCAAATCTCACGGCAAATACCAATCTAGCTATCGGTCAGTCTATTAATGCTCTTGTCTACCCACTTTTTTATTGCTTAGATGAGTGGACGAGCTCACAGCCCATAGACACCTACACAACGTAAATGCGCCACTCACCTTGAGATATAAGATCTAAGGTCTCAAGTATAGTTACAACGGCTGCCCCCCCCCCCCCCCTTCAAGCCGAAACGCATTACTGCTCACGGCAGAAATAGGCATGGTGGTGGTACCTACCCGCGCGGACTCACAAGAGGTCCTACCAACAGTATCTGTATCTTGTGTCTAGTGAAATTAATAATAAAATTGAAATATTACGACAAAAAAAATTATAGATATTCGAGTTTTTTTTGTTCTTCAAATACTTTATTTCAATATTACCTATGGGTCGGGATACAAATAACACATATCCTAAAGTGTATCAGCGTTTTTATCATAAAAAGCCCAACATTTTATATATTTCATAACAAAATATCCTTTAAAATTACATTATAGCTGCAGAAGCAATAGAATAATAAATAAATACTGAAATTTTATTCTTTATTATTTCAAATATATTAACAATCCTGTAACTATTAAATATTATACAAATATATTAAAATATAATACATATCATAGCATATTCAATTATGCATTTCAAATATATTATTTCATATCACATGTATTTTACGCATATCTCTGACGTAAATTCCTTATATACACAAAACGTTTGATTGTGATACTTTTACTAGTACAAAATTTCGAAACGCTTCGATTTGAGATATCATTGCCAGCTTTCGTTTATGACAAGCAACTTATGCTGGAATAGAATACGGTAAATTATTGTCATACTTCATTAAGCATTACTAACTTAGAATCCCCTTTATTCATTTAGCCTGTTTTTTTATTCTCCTACAATGTTGGGTCCTCCTATACCAATCCTATCATTTATATCACTTGAACCCTGATCATCGTTTTCATAATCTGAATCAATATCACTATCATCGTAATCCTCTACATCATCTTCGGTCTCCATCTCACTATTATCTATCACGTGCTGTTTTACTGCGCTGATCTGTAAATTAATAAAAACATAAACTTACACAATAGTACATAAAAATAATAATAAATAGTTCCGAGGATAATTTAAACATAATAAAAATTATAGAGATTCTCTTTGAATACAAAAGATAAAATAACGATTGAAGGGCTTTTTCTCAATTATTGATAAATAAATAAACATGAATTATGTTGTGTAAAGTTAAATTATGATTTTGATTATAAAAAGTAATTGTTAAGCTTATCCCTAACTTATATGTACCCAAGTCAAAGAAGCGTAGATAATTTTTCACGTTAACATTTATTTTTAACATAGAAAATTAAATAGAGTTTAATTTTAAATAAATTTAACTATTAACACACAATATCTGAAATTTAATTTAAATCATTTACTTCATAAACTAGCTAATAATAGGTCTTGCGTGTTTGTCTGTCAAACAAATATTACAAAATTTTAATCTACACTAAAGTACTGTTAGGAAAATTGATATGATTACAATTTATTAGTTGTTTGGATCACAGTAGTAATCTGTGACAATAGTGCCAATGGAGTCGTTGTAGAGAGAGATTAATCAAATTACAAACACCGAATGCACGCAAACTTTCTCGAAAAAAAAAGATGTTTGATACGGTAACATTTAAAAAAGCCATAAGTATTACTACATTGATGTAATACGCAATGTAACAGAATTAAAATTCGTTATTTATGCATTTAATAAATTAATATTATTTTTTGTTTACGTCGAGGCAATAAAAACGAATATCGACTTCTGATATAATTTGATTACACTCTGTATATTCACGTCACTTCGAATAAGTGTGTGCATTTTTGTTAGTTTTTCTATACGATGGTTTCTTGCTTCATATTTTGCGTAATTCAATTTCATTAACGTTAAATTAATTTATAGAAATCAAAACACAGATAGGTGAAATTTTTTACGGTAGTCATTAAAATTACTGTTTTAACAATTGCGCAGGCATGATGCAGCTTTGTAATTACTAGAAGTCGAAGTAGGTAGATTGATTGATGATTAGAAGGTCGCTGACGTCAAAGTAGAGGATAATATGGATATGCCTCCAAAATATCGGAACTTCATATTTATTGTGATATTTGTTCCGGAATTTTAAAATTAGCATGAATCTGTGTTTAAGCTGCAAAACGTATTAATAATATTAATCTTCGCTACCAGTGCTAGCTAATGGTGAAAGAAATCAGTATTTTATTTTATAAAAAAACACCGTGGAATAGTTACACCGTATTTTGTCCCTTTCTGTTAAATTAGAAATGGCGCTTGTCAGTATGAGACAAAACTTAGAAAGGGCTTTTCGTTACTTTATCTCATAAATATAGTAATTGTATCCGATGAGGTTTAAAAATATTTTTTTTCAATTTAAAAAAACAATCATTATGGATAAAATGGCATGTCCATATTATGATATCTTGACGCAAGTATATAAAACCAATCTACCTACTCCGACCACTGGTACTACTGGACCTACCAATCGTATATAAGTTTACTGACCATGCTGTTAATGTGGTCTACGAAGGACCCCATTCTATCGATGAAAGAGTCTCCCTCGTCGGTCCCCTGAAGTCTTGACAGTGCGGGCTGCACTTGCGATTCTGCTGCAGCGTTCATATTCTGTACAGCATCAGTCATGTACGGCTCGTAGTTCGGAACGCGGAACGGAACAGTTGTTTCTGTTGGCGATCCATGGACCTAAAAATAAGAATGGAAGCCACCGGAATGCTTGTTATAAGTTATTGGGATAAATTTTAATAAGAGCTACGGGACTTTTTTGGCAACATCAGAATCAATCTTTGTACTGTTTAAAAAAATTATGATTTATCCGTATATATTCCGATGCAACGGTGTTCGAATCCCGTAGGCGGGTACGACCAACGGGGGAGGCTGTGAGCTCGTCCACCCATTTAAGCAATAAAAAAAATTAGTAGTTATAACAGATTTTTATCTTTAATTCTTAGGTGCTCGATCTCTAAGTCGTATATTTTACTAATCGTCGTTTAAAGAAATCTTTAAATAGGAACAGATAAATTCAGCACATTCAATTTGAAACGTTTAAAATATATACGGTAGGTTAACGAATTAATAAATTGTGTTAGACCGATGATCTGGAAAAATATAAAAAAAAAAGAAAACAAAAAAATGATTACAAAAAATGTAGATTTCTGTATATGACATACAGGAATCATTCATTGTTGTTTGTAGATGCGTGTACGAGCTCACTGCCCACTTGGTGGTGTTAGATGGTCATCGGAGTTCATAGACATCAGGTTAATGGCACCGCTCATCTTGAGACATGAGTTCCAAGTTCCAGTTTCTACGGTACACTAGTTGCCCTGCCCTTCACCACCGAAACGCGTCACTATTTCACGGTAGAAAAAGGCAAGGTGGAGGAGGCACACCTACCTGTGTGGTCTCACAAAACGCCCTACCACCACTAATTACGCAAATTATATTTTTTACGGGTTCAATTTTTATTACACGATGTTATAACTTCGTCGTGGAAGTAATTCATGAACATCCGTTAAGTACGTATTTCATTAGAAAAATTGGCACCTGCCTGCGGGATTCGAATACCGGCGCACTAGCATCGCTCGATACGAATGAAACACACGTCGTATCCTTTAGGCTACAATGACTGAAAATCGTTCAATTGATTTTTTTTTAATGATTCAAGGATTACTGGTGGTTCGGAGGCCTTTCCAGTTTCACTTGGACAGGTGGGGCAAAGACTCAGCCAGGCGGGGTGGGATTTGCTAACAGCCGCCCGAGCGCCTCCGAAGGAGACCTGACAACTCAAAAACAATTGAATTGTTTTACTTATCTCTATTCATTGACAACAAAACTTGTTTGCTTAAATATGATTAAATAAAACTCACGTAAAACAAGACCGAACCGACAAAGACAAACGCTAATATTGTTAAGAACGTCATGTTCAATGAAGAAAACACAAAAAAATCACGAGAAAATGTAAATGAGTTCGCCTATTTATAAACACGTATACCTTTGTTCGTCGATTCGATGACTCAGGAATGTCACGTTTTCTGAATATCGTAATGATAAAATTTATTCGCGGTACGTGAATAATGAATACTCATTGATGACTATAATGTTGTTGTGCTGTAGGTAGTCTACAACAAACTTGCCAATTACTTAGTGAATGTTTAATTTGAAGTCGTCGTGGCCTAAAGGATAAGACGTCCGGTGCATTCGTGTTGAGCGATGCACCGGTATTCGAATCTCAGGCGGGTACCAACTTTTCTAATGAAATACGTACTCAACAAATGTTCACGATTGATTTCCAGGGTAAAGGAATAACATCGTGTAATAAAAATGAAACCCGCAAAATTATAATTTGCGTAATTACTGGTGGTAGGACCTCTTGTTAGTCCACGCGAGTGGGTACCACCACCTTGCCTATTTCTGCCGTGAAGCAGTGACGCGTTTCGGTGGTGAAGGGCAGGGCAGCTAGTGTACCGTAGAAACTGGAACTTGGAACTCATGTCTCAAGATGAGCGGTGCCATTACCCTGATGTCTATGAACTCCGATGACCATCTAACACCACCTCACACAGTGAGGTCGTACACGCATCTACAAACAACATTGAAATGTCATACAGGAATCCACATTTTTTGAAATATTTTTTTTGTTTTCATTTTTTTTATGTTTCTAGATCATCGGTCTAACTCCTTTTATTAATTCTTTAACCTAGCGTATATATTTTGAACTTTTCAAATTGGATGTGTTGAATTTATCTGTTCCTACTTAAAGATTTCTTCAATCGATGATTAGTAAAATATACGACTTAGAGATCGAGCACCTAAGAATTAAAGATAAAAACTTGTTATAACTAATTTTTTTTATTGCTTAAATGGGTGGACGAGCTCACAGCCCACCTGGTGTTAAGTGGTTACTGGAGCCCATAAACATCTACAACGTTAATGCGCCACACACGTTGAAATATAAGTTCTAAGGTCTCAAGTATAGCTACAACGGCTGCCCCACCTTTCAAACCGAAACGTATTACTGCTTACGGCAGAAATAGGCGGGGCGGTGGTACCTACTCGTGCGGACTCACAAGAGGTCCCTACCACCATTAATTACGCAAATTATAATTTTGCGGGTTCGATTTTTATTACACGATGTTATTCCTTCACCGTGGAAGTCAATCGTGAACATTAGTGAAAGTGCTTATTCATAAAATAAGCAATACGAGCTCCAACAACATAGCTGTCAAAGGTTCGGTGAAGGTTGACAGTGTCAGAGGAATTATATTGTCCGTGTTAACTGTTTGATTAATAATAATAATAAAAAAATAAATTAAACAAAATTACGAAATAGTGTTAATTTTTTTTATTAATCTACTTAGAAGGATAGCACACGTACCTACCGCTTATTAAATTACGCCGTTTTAATATTACAAGCGAGGTCTCTATTTATTTAGGATGCGAAGCCATGTTGCCGTGTTATCTTTCAGCCGTTTTCCACCTCGGAAACGTTGGGTGTGTGTACATCGTACTGAGAAAATAATCAAATTTAACGCGTAAGCAAATTGGTTCAAGCGAAACAGTTCTATGTAATTTATTCAATCTTTCATCATGAGCACCTGAATTAGACTCAGGTTAGTATTAAGGAGTCGCATCGATCGATACTGGATCGAACACGTCGACAATAACGTTCACAAGGCTTGTGGAGAGTATGAAGCGGTAGGCAGCGGCTTGGCTCTGCCCCTGGCATTGCTGAAGTCCATGGGCGACGGTAACCACTCACCATCAGGTGTGGGCCGTGTGCTCGTCTGCATATAAGGGCAATATAAAAAAAAAAAAAAACTGGTATCTAAGGTTTCAAGTACCTAGTATCGTCAAACGAATACATGCTATATGGTTTAAGGTATAAGTGCTTTTTTTAGTTTTAAAAGCAACTCTCGATATTATACTATACTATAAACAGTGGACGTAATGTTGAAATATTTTTTTACTGGTCGTAGGACCTGTTGTGAGTCCGCACGGGTAGGTACCACCGCCCCGCCTATTTCTGCCGTAAAGCAATAATGCGTTTCGGTTTGAAGGGTGGGGCAACCGTTGTAACTATACTGAGACCTTAGAACACATATCTCAAGGTGGGTGGCGCATTTACGTTGTGGATGTCTGTGGGCTCCGGTAACCACTTAATACCAGGTGGGCTGCGAGCTCGACCACCCATATATGCAATAAAAAAAAAACTCCAAAGAGTTCGCAAGGTTGATTTGTCTGGCATTTTTTACTGCGCACGAGTAACAAAATTTCAAAGGAAACAAACTGGCTCGTTAACAATGTAATAACAACATAAAGCGTAGAAATCACACAACGACTCTTTGATTACAAGCTATATATACGTAGTTTGTAAAAAAAAGTATAAGCTGCATTAATTGTGTTCGAAGCCTGACAAGTATATGGCCTAGCGCACCCGATGATCGGTATAGCAATGGCAGGGGAATATCAAAATTGCGGGCTACCCGATTATTTTTAAGCCTTGCTTGAACAAATGATTTTTTTTATAATAACTGATAACTGGGACACAACACGCACGATCATCAGCCCCAAATTACGATTCCGATTATATACTTGGAAATAGATAATGAACAACCAGACCAAGAGCAAACAAAACAGGAGCGCTAATCACTGCACCACCGATTCAGTCAAAAGTAAATTTGATAATTACTACCTATTGTTTCGAGGGTGCGTTTAGACTTTTGCCTTGTCTACAGCTACAGCTAAATAATTTTGAGTTTCATTTTAAAATTTAGATAGATAATATAATTCACTGCCTTTTTGCCAGTCTTAATTAAAAAAGAGCTGTCATTCTCCGGGGCCACGGCCATTTGATTCGATAAACAAATTATATAATTGTGACTAAAGCTGATATTGTAGTATTTCGGCAGTATATTGACCTTTCTTATCTTATCGATATCCCAAGTTCAAAGTTGTAACACGTCATAGCGCGCTAAGGAGGAAAAATATCTAAAGAGAATTTAAGTATCACAGAATTCAATGTTGCGTTTTAGTTTATTTCTTTGTTACGCATAGCCTACGTTCTTAGGTGGGACAAGCGTTATGTGATAAAAAAATCTGTCATGGCGTCTAACCTCATACGATGTTGGGAGCAGATCGCGGGCCCAAGGATACATATCTATATATTAATACGTGAAGCAAAAACTTAGTACCTCTTTTTACGAAAATTGCGCAACGGAGGAGTATGGAATTTACCACACTTATATAGAATATAGAGAAGGAGTACAGAATGTAATTTTTTTTTATTATGCATAAAAAATACATCTAAAATAAAACTAAAATTAGACACACTACCATGTATTTGACACACACACATATACATACATATATAATAGGGGTTAAAGTATGAAAATTGCCCTTTTATTGTAATAGGCACTTCAAATAGACATAGAGCCTTCATGGCTTGAGATTTTTTAGTGAAACTTTTTCAAATGGTACCTATGAGGTTCTTCTTTTAAAAAATGTGCAACATTCCACTATCGACTTTCAGTTGTTTTTTCTATTCAGCTTAGACAAAAAAGATGGATACTTCAAAAATTCGAGTGATTTTTAATACTAGTTCCAACGCGAAACTAACGCTACAGAAACAGTTTACAATATCAATGTTGCGTTTGGAGAGGAGATTGCTAATGAACGCGCCATGCTATTTTGGTTTAAACGCTTTTGTGATGGAAATTTTGATTTGAAAAACGAACCACGTGGAAGGCCGCGCCCACACATGTGAATAACAATGAATTGAAAGAGATTGTAGAAACCGATCCGAGCCAAACTACCCAGGAATTAGTGGCGTGACTTATCTTACCAACAATTTTGATTAATTTGCGTCAAATCAATAAAATTAAAAAAATGTGAAAAATGGGTGCCTCATTATTTGACTGATCTGTAGAGAGAAAGGCGTATTGAAACTTGTGTTGCCTTGTTGAATCGATACAGAAATGAAGGAATATTTAATCGAATTGTGACATATGATGAAAAGTGGATTCTTTACGATAACCGTAAGCGAAAAATGCAATGGCTGACCCCAGGTCAAACGCCGCAACGATGTTCTAAAGCAAAACTTATAATAATCTTTGACAATAGAACTATAATAATGTTCAAACTTATAATTTCAATTAATTAAAGTCAAATTTCGACTACTGGGGGCCCACTAATACAAATAATACTCTAAGCTTATGTGTATGGCAGATGAGAAGCGGAATTTATATAATTATGCCTATAGACTCCGGTATCTGTGCTAAGTACACACGGTCAAGCAAGATTTTGTCCACACACAGATGCTATCAAAAAAATTAACAATAAGTTTCGCGAGTCGTTATCTTTTTATAATAAAATTAATATATATATTTTTCTTAGTTAGAGATATTCAAACGCTTCACTAAGTACTTTCCTTACAGAAATTAAGGAAATACGAAATTTTAGTTTTGGCTTTAAATACTCCATAAAAGTGTAGCGAGAAAATGGTGTGAACGTGAAATTACCGTAGAACATTCTTTCAAGAAAATTGAATATTTACGTCGGCGATACAGAGGAATCTATTGCTCAAATAAAACGAGCAAAGCATTTTTTTTGCAGTAAAGAACACAGTTATTTTAGTAATATTGAAGGTTGAATGAATGAATGAATGAATGAATGAATTTATGAAAATTCTTTATTGCACAAAAAAATTGTACAAAGGCGAACTTAACGCCATGCAGGCATTCTCTTTCAGTTAGCCCTCGTTGATAAAGTAAAAGATTCAAGAATAGCGTAGCTGTAATGAAGTTATTACATGACGATAATTTAAAGAATCATAGTAGACATGAGTGAAATGAACACTAGGTTATAATTACATTGCCAAAACAAATACATACATACATACAAATACATACAAAATACATAGATG